TTGGGGGAAGGGGGAGTTAGTATTTCATGAGTATAGCGTTTCCACGTTGGAGGATGAAAAGGTTCTAGAGGTTGGTTGTACAACACCATGAACGTAATTAACACTGCAGTTAAGTACACAGTCGTGCACTTGAAAATGGTTGAGATGGTAAAGTTTATGTTGTATGTGTTTCACCAGAAATATAAAAACAATTGATTCTACCCAGGTTTATTTATTGGTCACTTAGTGTGTGCTGGGGACCCTCCTGTCCTCTTCTGGGGTAGAGTAGGGACCACTGGAGGTCTCATCCTCATGGTGCTTACGTAGGAATGACAGACAGCATTCAACACACAAATCGGTGAGAAGGAAAGCCAGAGCGTGGTAAGTGCTGTGCAGAAAACCAAGTGACAGCAGCGACAGGGGTATCAGGGCCACCTCTCTGAGAGGGGAAGGTAGTAAGCCAGCATAATCAGTCAGCCAGTGAGGGTTAGGCTGGCATTGGAGGGGCACAGAAATAGCTGGTTGCTTGTGGGTGATGGAGAGGGAGGTGGTGGGCACCGTGAGAGGCAGGCAGGCAGGCTGACCTTGCAGGCTGGACACCAGGGTGTGGAGAGCGGCTTCGTTCCAGGCAGTGGGAAGCTGTTGTGTGGGCTTAAGCAGAAGAGTGATGTGCTCTGGTTTTTTTTTTTTTTTTTTTTTTTTTTAAAGATGGAGTCTGAGCCTGTTGTCCAGGCTCGAGTGCAGGGACACAATCTCGGCTTACTGCAACCTGCACCTCCTGAGTTTGAGTGATTCTCCTGCCTCAGCCTCCCGAGTAGCTGGGACTACAGATGCATGCCTTGCTAATGTTCTGTATTTTTAGTAGAGATGGGGTTTCATCATGTTGGCCAGGATGGTCTCAATCTCCTGACCTCGTGATCCACCCACCTCAGCCTCCCAAAGTGCTGGGATTACAGGTGTGACTCACTGCACCCAGCGCAAGCCTCCATAAGGTCGGGTGCCCGTGCTGACCCAAGCTGCAGAGAGGTGCTGTGGCCCCACTGTTAGGAGTTTTCCAGATGTGCGTGTGTGGTGCAGTTGTGTGTATGTCATGTGATTCTCCTTTGGTTGGGGTGGCAGTGACAGAGCAGTGGGAATAATTTAAAGAACAAATTGCAGACGGAAACAGGTGGTGCTGATACCAGAAACCCTGGGTGTGGGCAGCCAAATTGGAAAATGGAGCCGCTTCACAGAGCTTCGCTTGTTCTTAGCTTCCTTAACGACCGTGGAGTGGAATGAAAAACCTGAGCTGTTCCAGGCAAGTTCTGTATGGAGGGAAAATGACATCAATTTTACTCAATTACCATGTGAAAGAGACAACATGCCTCTCTCTCTGGTGTCCAGCAAGAGGAGCATAGTGCTAGAGCCCTCACTGGTTGCCACACTCCGGGGGGGTGTATTGTTCAACACAGATGGCCTGCTCACGCCCAGGGTCTCTGGTTCAGTGGGGCTGGGGTGGACTCCAGAATGTGCATTTCAAACAAGTGCCCAGGTAATGTGGATGCTGCTGCTGCTTTGGGGACCCCACTCACAGGTACTGTGCTACGGAGCATAGTTCCCTCCTGTTGAGGGGTCTGAATAGCAGTGTGTGCAACCTGAGAGTGTCACCCACAGGTCGCTGTCTGTCCCTGGGGAGGCCTTAGGTCATACAGGTAGCTGGTGCCCTTGTGAAGCCCAGCCTGGCGTGGTGAGTAGCTCCTCTCCTTGTGTCCCCAGCCACGGCTCCTTCTCTGGTCCCTGTCTGCCCTTCCCTTACTGTGTCCCCACGTCGCCTAGCCAGAGAAGCGGTAGTGTGCTGCTGGCAGCAGATCCACCCTGCTAGGCCCCTAGGCTGCCAAGGAAATGTGACAAACACAGCCAGAGCTGGACGCCGGAGACAGAATTTCCAGACGCTTGGCTGCGCTGTTCCCTCCCCAGCCAGGTGTCTCTCTAAACATCATATAGCCATTGCCTCCAAGACTTCTCCTGAGCATGAGTTTCCATGGGGAAAAAAAAAAAAAGATGAGGAGACTCTGTTACATGTCTTTGAGGCTTGTACCTTGTGTTTTGTGGCTGTCGGTGGATTTTCGTCTGGCTTGCCTGGCTTTGGCGCAGGACCTCAAGGGAGAGTCTGTGTGTGCCTTGCCTTGTGCTCTGAGCTTTGTCGGAGGCTGTGGTCAGCACCTGGCAGGTGACAGTGCTTGAGCCATGCTCAGGCTTCAGTACCTGCTCTCTCGGATGTCATGGACCCTGGTTACTTGTCAAGAGGAAATGTCTTCGTAGAAGGCTTGCTAGAGAACGTTAGAGCATGAATGTACTTTTAATTGTTGTAAAACATGCTCAACATGAAATTTACCATCTTTGCCATTTTTAACTGTGCACTTCAGTATTCCTACGTTCACATTGTTGTGCAATTAATCTCTACCGCTTTTTTGTCTAGCAAAACTGAAACTCTGTACTCGTTAAATTTTTAGAGCATGAAGCTTTTTAATGAGTTTATTTTGTACTTTTAATTGTAGTAAAATACACTTAACATGAAATTTACCGTCGTAGCCATTTTTAGCTGTGTAGTTTAGTATTCTTACATTCACGTTGCTCTTCAGTCTTTATAGCTTTTGTATCTTGCAAAACTGAAACTCTGTACCCACCTTCCCATTTTTGCTTCCCCCTCGCCCCTGGAGCATGAAACTTTCCATCGCCCTTCCATCTCTCATCTTTTTGGTGGCATTTGTTCCACGGGAAGTGGCTGAGCGTAGGGTTAATGGCATATGGCATGCTCTGAAGTGTAATCAGTCTGGCAGGGAGAACATGGGTGATTTTGACAAGGGAGCTTATTCCTACAGTTTGGTTCTTCCTGAAACTTTCATCCTTCCTTGCGGTCTTTCCTTTTGTGGCATACCATAACATCACTGAGGATTGCTTCATCCCTTTGTTTCTTTAAATCTGTAGTATCCTTTAATGTTTTTGGTTTTGACTGGGGTTGACATGACAGGCAGTATTTAGATTGCGGTATGTAATGTCAGATAGCAACACTGCAATTTGAATTTCCTCCCTCATGACTTCAAGTTTTCTTTCTTCCTAATTTTCATGTTTTGAACTGAAGTTTACCGGTTTGGACCCAGTTCTGATGCTGAATATTTTAGGGAAAATTATTGGGTGGTTCTTGAACTATCAAAACAAGGAACAAGGAGCGGGGAGGCAAGTTAGGTGCTTCCCCGCTCCTCTCCCAGGCTTGGGGATAGGTCATGAATACGTGACTTCAGAACTGGCCTGTGGATGGTCCAGTATTCAAAACAAAACAAACAAACAAAAAAACAGCTTGTTCATGAGGAAAGGAGATTTTGGAAGTAACAAAGGTGAGAACAGAACAATTGGATGTGTTCTATTTTTCCTTGTGGGAAGGAATATTACATCACACAAAGATAGGTTTTTTAACCGTAATAATGGTTTTCAAAGAGGAAAATTAAAGCAGCGACAAAGCTGATGGCTTTGTCATGGAGATGCTCACACACTGCATCTCAGCACTTGTGGGCTGGGTGTGGCCACGTTGGGCTGCTCAGCTTGGCCTGAGTTGACCCTGGCTGTGCCGTCTACCATGATCATCGCTTCCTGCTGCCGCTGCTGATGTATTGATAGTGAGAAAGTTTTAATGCTCCTGCTGGAAAATTCCCCCTCCTGTGTTACCTGTGCTATGTCTATAGGTAAAAACTAAGTAGAATATTCAAAAGATTATATTCTTGTTCCCGCCACACTTTCCAGCTGCCTCTGCCTTTAGTGTGCTCTCAGCATACGTCTCACATCCTGCTTTCTGTGAGTTACGGATAAGGTACTTGGCAGGGTCATAATGACCTGGGATTGTCAGCTGCAGTGGGCTTGTTCCATTCATGTCAACTTTGAATCCTTCACGTTCTTCCAAGTTCCCTTCTCTTCCTCTTGAATCACTTTCCTGTGACTGCTTGATGTTGAGGTCCTTACGTTAAGTTCTGCAACAAAATTGAGAAAGATAGGTCCTTTTCTGTTACTGTAATTTATTTCAGTGACAGACTTTGGTTACAATGGGACTTCAGGGAATAAAGAAGGAATGTAGACCTTTTGGCTGGATAAGGCTGAGTTTGAATCAAGTTGTCGTGACTGGCTGTGGGTCTCACGCAGGTAGGTGGCTTTACCTCGATGAACTGGTTTTCCTGTTTCCCAGCTGACAGTGGTGGAGATGCCGATTTTGGTGGGTGTGGCAAGGGTTAGTGATGACACAGGCTGGCGTGCAACAGGCATCTGGCTCCCCCATCCCTTTCATGAAGGTCCCCTTTTAGCCCCAAGCATGAAACCCCAGAATGGAAGTTTTCAGCTTTCTGCCAGAATCATCTAACAGCCCTTTCCTTTTTTCAAAACTAGCTTTCCTATACATGGTTTTTATGTATATTTCCGGCATTGCTTTATAGATACACATAAGCATACTGTATATGTATATTTGTATACATGTGTATGATTCTAGAGGTTTCTTATATACATTTTTCTTTTGGCAAATTCATTTTTAAGGAAATTTTTGGCTTTCCTGGAAAACCTTTTAAATAAAATCTGGGTTATGTTTCTCATATTTGTATTTTTTGTTTCAATAAGAGTTTATGTGTGGACACTGGCCTTTGAATTTCACATAATTGTTCTTTAGTTTTTCTAGTACTGGAAGAGCACAACCTATATCTTTAATATTTTTATGAATGGAATTTGTATTTCAGAACAATTTTAGATGTACAGAGGAATTGATGAGTTAGTACAGAGAGCTCCCATACAGTTTCTCCCAGTGTGAGCCTCTCACATTAGAATGGTATGTTGGTTGTCATTAGCGGACTAATACTGTTAGAGTGCTATAAACTAAAGTCTGCCCTTCACGCATGTTCCCTTATTTTTAAGTAATCTCTTTTCTCTCTCCCCAGTTCCCATCCAGGATACTACTATATTTAAAAAAAAGTTTACATTTATATCTTTTTTTTTTTCTGTCTTGATAGGTGTACAACATGTTTCAGCACCAGAGCCTGGGGATTAAAATTAATATTCAAGTGACCAAGCTTGTCCTGCTACAACAACGTCCGGTGAGTCCCCACAGGCACCTTTCAAGCCTGTAGAAAATGTGGCCTGGCCAGAGCGTCTCAGTTGCTGTTGAATGCTAAGTGGGGCTCCAGGGTGTTGCCGGTCTTCATTGCCCTCTGTGGCTTTGCCAGCGTGAGAGGGAAGCCGGCATCAGTATTGGTGGCGTGGCGTGAGGGCGGGCTGTTGAGAATCTCGAGGAACCCTGAGCGGTAAGCCCACACACATCCCCCTCCTCTCCCCGAGGCTCTCGCATGGTGCCGCTAGGTTATGTCCAGAGCTTGATGGGGAGCTCTCTGACGTTGTGGCGTCCCTTCTTCCTTTTCTTTGAGATGGACTCTCGCTCTGTCACTCAGGCTGTAGTGCAGTGGCATGGTCTCGGCTCACTGCAACCTCTGCCTCCCTGGTAAAGCCATTCTTCTGCCTCAACCTCTTGAGTAGCTGGGACTACAGGCACCTGCCACTGTGCCCAGCTAATTTTTTATATTAGTAGAGACAGGGTTTTGCTGTGCTGGCCAGGTTGATTTTGCTCTCCTGAAATTGTGATCTGCCTGCCTCATCCTCCCAAAGTGCTGGGATTACAGGCATGAGCCACCACGCCTGGTCCAGTGGCTTCCCTTCTGAAACTGCATTAGAGCTTCGACCCCAGGTGGGGTTCACGGCAGCATTATTTTCTGGTCTTTCAATGGAGCACCTTCCCATATGCTGATGTTACCTGGTGAGTCGACTTCATCACCGTGAGACTGAAGGAGGATTGCTTGGTTTAGGATACTGTTCTGTCTGAAGAAAAGCAGATGCTTTTTTTTTTTTAAGAGCATCGCCTTCATTCGCTCCTATATGTAAGGCCCCTGATGGTCTCTGCAGATTTATGCTATGCTGCTTACCCACTAGCATCAGGCTTTTCTTAAGAGGGCCATGAGTCATTAAATGGTGTCTCAGCGAGCGACTGTCTCCACCTTAACGTCCCTGCCGTAGTCTCGATCTGAACTCTGGCCTCCCAGGCATTTGTGTCTCTAACTGTCCCCCGATTTCTTTCAGGCTAAATTGCACATTGGGCACCATGGTGAGCGGTCCCTGGAAAGCTTCTGTCACTGGCAGAACGAGGAGTATGGAGGAGCACGGTACCTCGGCAACAACCAGGTTCCCGGTGGGAAGGACGACCCGCCCCTGGTGGATGCTGCTGTGTTTGTGACCAGGTAAAACGGGATTTGGCCTGTAACTGACACGCGAGTGGGAAACGATGTTTCCCTTCGGAGAGGGAACAGGCACGTTGTTGGGAATTCAGGCTTGGAAATCGTACCTTGGGCCACCTGTCTGGGTTTTGCTTTCCTCTTCACTAAGGGGGTTCATCGGGGTGTCCACCTCTGAGGTAGGTACAGTGCCTGGGCATGTAGCTGTGTCCCTCCTGTCCCTCCTCCATTTTCACATGGCATTCTCCCTGCGCGTATCTCTGTCCAAACTTCCCTCTTCCTATAAAGACGCCGGTCGTTGTTCTGGGGCTCACCTCCCTCCAGCGTGACCACATCTTAACTTGATTCTACCTGCAGTGATGCTTTTTCCATGTGAGGTCACATTCACAGGTACTGAGGGTTAGCACTTGGACCATTTCTTTTTGGGGGTTACATCCACAGATGTCAGTGTGGCTGTGTCGTTTTTCCTTATGTCTCTGCCCTCTCTGAGGAACACTGATTTTTGTTTTGGTTGCTTGACTTTCACAACATAAACAACATGTTACGTGTTCATACCAAAAATCTCCCTTTATAAAATACACAGAAATACTTCTTAGTAGCTTAATCTATTAGGTTGAAAACACCAGCTTTTAGTTAGAGTTGCTAGGAATATGTCAACATTGAATGCTAGGGACTTTTTTTTCTGAGACAGAGTCTCTGTCTGTCATCTGGCTGGAGTGCATGGCACAATTTTGGCTCACTGCAGCTTCTGCCTCCTGGGTTCAAGCAATTCTCCTGCCTCAGCCTCCTGAGTAGCTGGTTAACAGGCGTGTGCTACCATGCCTGGCTAGTTGTTGTATTTTTAATAGAGATGGGGTTTCACCATGTTGGCCAGGCTGGTCTGGAACCCCTGACTTCAGGTGATCTGCCTGCCTCGGCCTCCCAGAGTGCTAGGATTACAGGTGTGAGCTACCGCGCCTGGTCCTCCACATAGAGGTAAATCTCACTTAACATTTGGTTTTGAGTCAAGAAATGCTTTTGGTTGCATCTCTCAGGCCATGTGCTGCAAACTCTGAGCCCCATGACATCTCAAAGTCATCTGGGAAATTCTGTGGTCCCTGCCCCAGACACCGGACAGGGCAGCTTTCATTCCTTTCAAAAATCTGAGAAGAGGCTGGGCACGGTGACTCATGCCTGTAATCCCAGCACTTTAGGAGGCTGAGGCAGGTGGATCACGTGAGGTCAGGAGTTAAAGACCAGCCTGGCTAACATGACGAAACCCCATCTCTACTAAAATACAAAAATTAGCCGGGTGTGGTGGTGCAGGCTTATAATCTCAGCTACTCGGGAGGCAGAGGCAGGAGAATCGCTTGAACCCAGAAGGCAGAGGTTAACAGTGAGCCAAGATCATGCCATTATACTCCAGCCTGGGTGACAAGAGTGAAACTCCATCTCAAAAAAAGAAAAAGAAAAAAATCCCAGAATAGATACAGTGCCACTACGTGTTACCAAATAGATGCCTGCTCACTCTCGGTGGACATTTGTCAATTGCCAGCCCTAAGCGTGCTTTGTTACACATTTAACAGTGTGTTTTGTATGTGGCAATCCCTTAGGAGAATACTTGCTGCTTTTACAGGGTATGATTAAATATATAATCCATATATAAGCCCTATCGTAGACAATCAGAATTTTTGAAGAGACATTGTGGAAAAAGTGTCTTTAGTAATTCTGATTGTCTATGATAATGGCTGACGCGGTAGCAGGCATCAAGGACCAAGGGGTGAACATGACCTCGTGTATGCTTTTGACCTGGTCTTGCCCACTTCAGTGAGCACTGGGAGCCTCCAGGCACCACCTTCCTTAAGAGCAGGGGCTGCCCACACCCTCTGGCCAGAGGCTGCTGTTGCTCAGGTGACTTTGCAATGGCATTTGGGGACCGTGAGGCTTTCTGTAGAATGCCCTGGGTGTTGCAGTGTTCGGGTTAAGGGTACCACGATTTGAGTGCAGATTCAATCTGGGGAGCAAGCAAGAGTCCTTGGGAACTATGTCTGTGCGTGATTTTAAGTTAATGGAGCTGATTTTCCAAATAGTAATTATATTTGGTCTGAAAGATTTTCCTAGAGGAACTCTAAACAACGTCATCTGTGGAATATGCAGCTAAACTCCCACGGTTTCTACTGTGAATATAGTTTTTATAAATACTATAGAAAATCTGTAGTTTCTTGTGTTTTGTTAAATAATTAATAGCTCATGGGAATTTTTCCCTCTATTGAAAAAAATTTCGTCTCTTTCCTGCTGTTTCCTTTCAATGAGTGGAGAAGGAACTTGTAAGTAGTCTGGATTTGGGGATGAATGGCATTTGTTTTCCAGAGGCAATAAATGTCACCAAGATGACTGTTGACAAAGCTTCTGTGTTAGCCCTTTTACAAAAAGACCTCAGCCGTCGTGATACACCTCACTGCAAAGATGCTGTGAATTAGACTTTCTTTTCATTTTCCACCCTCCCAACTTAACACAGAGGAAATATTTTGTGTAGAAATGTTCTTTTCTATGTGTCACAGTTTTTACAGTGGCTGCCATGAAACAAAATGCCGTGGTTTCGCTGTGTCCCACCCAGATCTCATCCTAAATTCCCGAGTGTCATGGGAGGGACCTGTTGGGGGGTAATTGAATCATGGGGGCAGGTCTTTCCTGTGCTCTTCTTTGGATGGTGACGAAGCCTCACAAGATCTAATGATTATACGAGAGGGAGTTTGTCTGCACAAGCCCTGTTCTCCTGTCTGTGACCGTGTGAGACGTGCCTTTGCCTTCCATCAGGCCTCCGCGAGGCCTCCCCAGCCACGTGGAGCTGTAAGTCCATTAAACTTCTTCGTTTTCTAAATTGCCCAGTCTCGGGTATGTTTATCACTGGCGTGAAAACGGACTAATACACAAAACAATGGAAAATGACCAGTGTTGGAAGAATGTGGAGAAATTGGAACTCTTGTGTGTACCATTGATGGGAACCTAAAATGGTACAGCCACTTTAGAGAACCCTATGATGGCTTCTCGAAAAATCAAAATGGGAGTTACCATATAATCCCACTTCTGAACCCTAAAGACCTGAATCCCCGAGTAATTGAAAGCAGAGACTCTGACATTTGGACACTCATGTTCACAGCAACGTTATTCATGACAGCCAAAAGGTGGGAGTGACCTAAATGTCCATGGATGGATGAATGGATAAACAGATATGCTGTCTATGTACAAGGGAATATTACTCAGCCTTAAAAAGGAAGGAGATTTGGACACAGGCTGCAGCTTGGGTGAACCTTGAGGACAAATGCTGCATGATTCCACTTACATGAGGTACCTCCAGTGGTCAGATTCATAGAGACAAAGAATGGTGGTTGCTAGAGGTCGGGGAGAAGGGAGAGTGGGGAGCTGTTATTTCGTGGGTACGGGGTTTCAGTGTGGGATGGCAGTTTTGGAGGTGGATAGTGGTGATGGTTGTGTGACAGTGGCTTTAACATGACTGAACTTTACACTCAGTGGTTAGGATAGTAAATTGTATGTTCGTGTATTAGTATAATAAAAATGTTCTGTTCTAACTAAGCACGTTGGAGAGGGGCCCTAATTGCGTGGGAGTGGTTCTGGGTGAGGATGCTGGGGGCATGGGCAGTGTCCTCATCCAGGGACAGAGAAGAAAGGCTTTCGATTGGCCTCTTGCGTAGCTGTTACCTGTCGCCATCCTGGGAGCCTGAGCTTTCTTCTACATTTCGGGCCCATGCCTTGAAGCTACGTCAGCCATCACAGTCCATCTCGCCTGCTGCCGTGGGACTACTGGCCTGAAGGGATCAGTGCATGGCTCGTCCTTTCGGTCCTCACAGATGTTAAACTGGGGATCTCTTTCAAGGCTGGGGGAGGCAGCTCTGGAGTTGGGCAGGAAGCTGAGTTGGCGGGGAAGCTGTGTTTAATAACTAGAAGTAGAGAGCTGCAGTTCCCTGGGTTGGGATAATGACAGGCTGATGTTTTCACTCGGAGATTGGGTGTGAGGCAGCTGCCGCCCTGGAGAAGCTGTCACCCGAGCTGAGGCTGCCCAGGCTGGGCTGCACTCGGGGGACAGCCTCCTGGTCCTGAGCCAGGACCGGCCAGTGTGAGGCTTTCCTCCCCCTTAAGGCTCTTTTTTCCCTTTATGGGCTGTGCCCGAGCCGGACAGGGTATTCTCCCAGACAGTCCCCGTCAGACAGGTGCTGCCGTGGAGGATGTGAGCGTGACGTCATGTCCAGCAGGAGCTGCTGAGCCAGGAGCGGTGGAAGCTGGGTTTTCTGCAGCTGCGTCTGCGACTAGGAAGGACCCCTGAGAGGACTGGGCCTGGGACCACATGGAGTCCACACAGAGGCCTCAGGGCTTCACTGACCCAGGAAGCTGAGAACACAGGACTTCTCCCTGAGCCTGGGCCTGTGCTCCCGGTGAGAGTGCCCGGGAGATGCCAGAGCAGACACAGGTGGCCCGAGGCTGCACCACCAGGATCCTTCCGGCCAGACTGTCCCCTCCAATGTAACACTCTCGCTCCCCAGGACACCCTCCCTCCACCTTCTGTCAAGGAGCCTGCTCGCCAGGCTTTGCTCGTGGTGAGGTCTCAACAGGTGTCTGTCGAAGTTGGTTCCCTGTTCTCTGGCTTGCAATGCTGGTGAGGACGTGGCTGCCGGGTAGCTTGCAGGGCCTGTTGAAAGGGTCTGGAAACGTCAGCCAATTAATCAAAGAATGTATGAAGTGCCAGCTGTGTGCCTGGCTGTGGGTTATGCACAGGACCAGCTGCATAACTTGTGGCGCCCAGTGCAAAATGAAAACATGGGACCCCGTGACCCCAGAGCGTTAGCCTAGGGTGGGGGTCAGACACCCACAAAGCCAGCCCTACCGTGCAGATTCATGTCAGCCTTGAGAAAGGCACCTTGGAGTTTCAGTGGATGTAGGGGCTGGGAGCTGAGTCTAGCCCTCATTTTTTTTTTTTTTTATTCCTGGAGTGAAATCCATAGTCCCTGCCTGGGAGTTTGACATGAGTTGGCAGTGGGATGATATAAAATTGTGGGTGCCCCTGATAATGAACGGAACAAAGCCAGGATCCCTGCAGATCAAACCGCCCCTGCAGGCAGGTGGCTTGCTGCTTCTCTTCTGAGAAAGGGCCTTGAACAGGAAGGAGAGAAGAGATTCAGATTCGACCGACCTTTTCCAGACAGGCCTCTGATTGGGTATAGCTGTCCCTCCCTGAGCTGGACACGTCTCTCACCTCTTCCTCGGGTGAAGCAGCTGGTGATGCCTTGGGGTCTGTTGTTTGAGACTGCCTGCTTCCCCTCAGGGCAGCCATTGGATGGGAGAACACGCGGAGGGGGAGTCCTCCGCCAATAGTGGTGGCTCTCTCCAAAATGGCACCCGCGTCACCTTTGGCCTTGGCCTTGGCCTGTGGCTTCACCTCCATTCTGGCCGACTGAGGCCTCCGTCCCTTTGTCCCTTTCTCCCTTTGCCCAGCTAAGGCAATAGGGCAAAGCTTTAAACACGTCCTGTTCACATCTCTGAGAAACCGTGGAGCAAGGTCTTAGGCCAGCCTGGTCTTTGTATGAGAGTGTGTGTGTGTGTGTGTGTGTGTGTGTGTGTGTGTGTGTATGAGAGAGAGTGAGTGAGAGAGAGAGAGTGAGTTTTGCTCAGTATACCAGAATGGGAAGGGTGCCAGACCAGTGACGTTGGACTGGAGCTAGACAGGTACTGGGCCGGTGAGCACACCTGTGCCCCTGACTTTAATTGGCTTCCTCTCTGCCCGTGCTAGTTTTATCACCTGTTCCTTCATCTTCTAAAAGGGAGTCTGATGGAAAAACCAAGTCTCTAGGCCTTTCCACCTCTGTGATATTTCTTCTCCGTTTTGGTTTGGGAAAGTGTGGATCTCAAGCTTTCTTTGGGCCCTCAGAGAAGATGGGCATGGGGCCCGGGAGGGGCCGTGTCTGGGCCAGGTATGTCTCCTCACCAGGCTCCCAGGCTGAGTCCTGCCCCAACCAGCCCTCTGGTCAACTCTTGACCATGGAAACTTAAAAAGAACCATGGGAATGCTCCATTGTTAGAAAAGAAGAGCCCAGGCCCCTGGTTTCGCCACAAGAGGCCAGATGAACCCCTTGTACCTGTAGAACCGGGCTGGACCAGGTCTCAAGCATCTTTGCTGTCTCACTGGTCCACAGGTGCCCACCCGGGGATCCTGAGGAGATTTAAGGAATACAGTTTTACTTTCCTTCAACTTTTAAGTCCTGAGGTAACATGTGCAGGATGTGCGGGTTTATTAGATAGGCTAACATGCGTCATGGTGGTGTGCAGTGCAGATCAGCCTGTCACCTAGGTACTCAGCCCAGCATCTGTTCGCTGTTCTTCCTCACGCTCTCTGCCTCACCCCCGCAGGTGGCCTGGTATGTGGTGGTCCCCACCATGTGTCCATGTGTTCTCATTCAACTCCCACGTACGAGTGAGAACATGCAGTGTTTGGTTTTCTGTTCCTGCATTAGTTTGCTGAGGATAGTGGCCTCCAGCTCCATCCATGTCCCTGCAGAGAACATGATCCCATTCTTTTTTTATGGCTGCATGGTAGAGGAACACAGTTTTTAAAAAGGACTTTTTGTCTTCACGTGAAAGCGACACATGGCCATTACAGCATTAAAAACCAGTTGCTGCCTAAGTAGAGCGGCTTGGGGAAGTCGCTGCAGTTGGATGCTATTGTCTGAGAATTGTCTCTGATCAGTGGCTTGGCAAACATCTTCCAAAACGTTTTCAGCCATCGCAAGGAGTCCTTCCAGCAACTGTTAAAGATAGAATAGTTCATCTGTAAAAGAGGGGTCTCGTGTGGTGTAAGTGGACCTACCCCGGGGAAATCTGGATGGGTTACTGTTGCTGAATGCGGCTGCCTGTTACCGTCCACTGTGGCCTGTGGCCACATGGGATAACCTCATGGGATGACTACTTGAGGGTAGTTGACAGTGTTTTCTTCTCCCATCCTTGAGGATACTGCATATACCTGATGATGGCTTTTATTTTTTTTTTTAGGACGGATTTCTGTGTACAGAAAGATGAACCATGTGACACTGTTGGTAAGTTGAGACTTGAAATAATCATCCGAGGGGCTGATACGCCCTGGGGGAATCAGGAGACCCCTTGATCCCAGGGGAGGAACCCTCCTCAGACAAGCGCCGCACATTCTGTTGCCTCTCTTCTTGTAAGCTGGTCTTTGACTTTCCCGTTTTAATTTTTTCTGAACTGTTTCGACGTTCTTTATGGCAGAAGGCATCTAGATGAAGGGTCAGTAAGGAAGACACGACAAGTGATGCCGAGGGGAGGAGCCCCCAGGCTGCTCCATGGTGTCTGCAGTTGGGACTGCATTTGGCTCTGGGCATTTTGGTCACCCAGGCAGGAGAGGCAGCCCGCTAACTTACACAGCTGTGGTCGTGAGGTGGAAGCTCAGCAGTTTCTTCTCATGCATGCAAATGACCTTCATTGAGCTTCACTCTAAGAGGTGAAGGGTGACTCTGTATTATAAGACGTCTTATCTCGGCTGGGCGTGGTGGCTCGCGCCTGTAATTCCAGCACTTTGGGAGGCCGAGACGGGCAGATCACGAGGTCAGAAGATTGAGACCATCCTGGCCAACATAGTGAAAACCTGTCGCCAATAAAAGTCCAAAAAAAAAAATGTATCTGGGTGTGGTGGCATGGGCATGTACCTGTAATCCCGGCTACTCAGGACGCTGAGGCACGAGAATCACTTGAACCCAGGAGACAGAGGTTGCAGTGGGTTGAGATCGTGCTCCTGTACTCCAGCCTGGTGACAGAGCGAGACTCTATCTCAAAAATAAAATAAAATAAATCTGATCTCTTCCACCTGCTGTGCTGCCGGGCTAATCACTTTTGAGTGTGAGAACACTGAAAGTGGCGTGCAGTGCTGGGAGAACACCCCTTCCTTCTTCCCCTTCCCCTCCTCCTCTCCCTTCCCTTCCCCTTCCCCTTCCCTACCATTTTCCTTTCTCACCCGCCTTCAGTTCTGCCTGGTTTGCTCTTGACCTCTCTTGGGTTTCAAACAGAAACCATTCTTTGAGTGTAGGGACAGAGTGTTTGGTTACCACGGGACATGCCAAGGCTGTGTCCAGTTTTGCCTGCCATAACACAGACCTTTGATCATCAGGAGGGCGAAATACCATATTGCGTGGCCAGAATAAAAATTGTGAATCGTGTATGTTTAGAATTCTAGTAAAATCAAAGAAAACAATATAGGTGTGAAAAATCCGTAATATTATGAAATTCACATGTGGAACAGCTGAGCTGCTCATGGAGCCCTGGCAGTGAGTCACCCCAAGCCTTTGTTCTGGCTCTGGCGCGTGCCAGCTGGGTGGCCTTGGGTATGTACAGTTTCTTAATCCATCAAATGATCACTTTGGATTAGGTGACTCACAAGAGCCTTTGAAATCTAATATAATGATAACTGTCTTTCTTGTCACATTTTAGAGTTTACGAAATGGTGTTTTTTTTTTTTTTTTTTTTTGAGACTGAATCTCACTCTGTTGCCCAGGCCAGAGTGCAGTGGCACTATCACGGCTCACTGCAACCTCCACCTCCCAGGTTCAAGTGATTCTCTTGCCTCAGTCTCCCAACTAGCTGGGATTACAGGCACCCGCTACCATGTCTAGCTCATTGTTGTATTTTTAGTAGAGACAGGGTTTCACAAGTTGGCCAGGATGGTCTCGATCTCTTGACCTTGTGATGCACCCGTCTCGGCCTCCCAAAGTGCTGGGATTACAGGCACGAGCCACTGTGCCCAGCGCAAAATGGTTTTTATTAGATTATACTTCATTGGTCCTCTAAACAGATCCTAGAGCAAGGTGTCACGAAGCAAGCAGCCAACTCCTGCTTTGTTATTTGGGAGCTGACTCCATGAGTGATTGCTAGAGAAAGGCCATGTGAAGTATGCTTCCTGGGAGGGCTGGCTGACTCAGGCCCAGGTCGGGTCGGGGCCATGGAGACGTGTACGGGCTGACCTCTGTCTGTCAACAGGGCTGCCAGGCATGTGCTGTCCCTAGGGGTGGCTGCTGTGTCCTTGGGTTCACAGGTCAGCCTTGGTCACAGTCCCCCTGTCTGGGGACGCCTCTGCTCTGTGCTCCTCCTCCTTCCTGGCTTACCCTGTGGAGACACAATCCATCAGTCATGTAGCCCTTGCCTGCACTTCTCTCCTGGAAGCCTCTGCACTCCACAGAGCCCAGCTCTGGCCTCCAGGCTGTGTGGCCTTCAGTACCTGGCACTGGATAGGGAGGCTTCGTCACTGCTGTTGGTTGGTTGATAAAATGAAGAAGGACTGACTGACTGACTGAATGACTGAATGACTGAATGAATGAATGCAGATGAAGGAACTCCGATTCCAGTGGTCACTAAAACCGTGTATATAATGGTGTGGTTTGCTTCCACAAGATTTACAGCTAGCTTTCAGTTTCTTTTGAATATATAACAGCTTTCTCTTTTGCTGGGAATATGCCATTAATTGTGGTTACGTCGTGTATTCAGGCCGCTGGTGAAGAGCAGGCAGCTGCTTCGAATCAGGCATCTTCTCCTTTTCTGAGCCACATCACCATACCACGTTTTATTGGTTTGCTCGGGCTTCCGTAACAAAATGCCACATAAACTGGGTGGGTTCAACAGCAGAAACGTGTTGTCTCCCAGATCCGGAGGCTGAAGTCCGAGATCCAGGTCCGGCAGATCTGGCCTCTGCCCTTGGCCGTCGGTGGCCGCCTTCTCCCTGAGTCCTCTCTGGCCTTGCCTCTGTGCGTGCACCTGCCTGTTGCCTCTCCTCCTCCTCAGGAGGATGCCAGTCATACTGACCTAGAGCCCTGCCCCATGACCTCATAGAACCTGAAGTCACTTTTTATAGGTCCTCTCTCTAAACAGAGTCACATTGGGAGTTAGGGCTGCTACGTAAGCATTTTGTGGGGACACAGTCGATCCGTAGCACTACTCATTTGATGCTTAGCCACATGCTACCTGGGAGCGTCTTATGCCCTCATTTCCCCTCCCAGGTGCCTGTGTCTCACTTCCTCAACCAGGAAGCCTTTTAATGGTCAGGACTGGTGTCGTCCTTGTTCATGTGACAGCTGGTTAGCTGAGCGCAGACCCGGCCTAGCTCCTGGGCCCCGTCCTGTGTTCTTCTGATCTCGGTGATTTTCAGCTTCTCCAAAGGAACTGATGCCTTTTTAAAATAAATAAATAAATAAATAAACTTATATGGTGTTTTATGAATATACCTATTATTTTTATGTGTCATGTTTTGCTTGTACAGATGATTAAGCCAGTCAGTAAGAACAGTGAGATGATTTAATGAGGAGAAAAATATGAAAACCAGGGTTCTGGCAGTTGTATATTGTTCTCAGCATGCAACTTGTTGATGGACTTTAAAATGTTTTTATTTTGAATAACTATACAGTCACAATAACTGCCAAAAAGAGTGCAGAGAGGTGTGTTGTACCTTTCCCCCAGCGTTGTCCAGTGGTAACATCTGATGTAACTGCAGTGCGCTCTCAGAACCAGGAAGTGGATGGGCCCGATACCGTGAGCTAGACTACAGCTCTTCGTCAGGCTTACTGCTTTCTGCACACGCTCATTTCTCGGTATGCTTTTGTGTAAAGTTCTGTGACGTCTTACTCCATGCACAACTTCATCCTTCCACCATGACAGGAACAGAAGGCTCCATGGCGGCGAGGTGCCCCCTTTGACCGCCTCTTGAGAGCCACCCCTGCCACCCTCCTTTTCCCTAACCACTGGCACCCATTTATCTGTATTCCATCTCTGATTTTCTCATCCCAATATCCAGTTTATTTGTTGTATTTTGTTTTGACTGCACAGAATGGAAAAATAATCTGAGTCACGTAGGTGCTTGCCCATGCTAAGAGATTTTCAACAGCTGCCTTGAAACCTCAGGATCCAGCTCTAGCAGGAAATGCTGTCGAGTTCTGCAGAAAAGGAGGTATCTGGTACCCAAGGTGACTAGAAAAGCTTTGGGTTGCCAGTGTTGTGTCATTTGGTACATAACACCGTTTTTTGTTGTTATTTTAATTAGGGTGTAGCTCACATGTATATAAAGAGGGCACAACTTGATGGATTTTCAATTTATGCCTATACGCTTCTGTTTTGGCTTAATCTGATATTGATTGAAATCCATTTACAGCAATATTTTGAATTCTGTTTTAGTCTGTGCTTTTTTGATACTGTGGTCAAGTATACATAACATTTGCCACCAGAAGCATCTTCAGGTGTACAGTTCAGTGGCATCCAGTACATCCACGTAGTTGTGCAGTCTGACTCTTGAAACCACAAGTCGGATATGGGTGAAGAATGTTATCAGCCCCCTAGAAGGTTCCTCCTGCCCTGACCCCCCGCCATCAGTAGTCCCCCAGGGGGTTTTAATGAGTATCTGAAAATAGTTTAAAATATATTTCAGAGCTCAGTTTGAACACGGTGTTGGAGTAACCTCTCAGGCTCTTCCAGGGTTTGGGGCATCCGTGAAATACACTCTGCTTCTGCCTCAGCCCATTTGTCTGCATTGCCCAGTCTGCATTCTTGATTGTGAGGAATGAACCAAGGGTACCTGTCAGAAGGGGGCTGCCACCAGGCTCGGAGCCTGGCTTGGAACACAGGCAGCACCCGGGGGAGCTCTGGAAGTGGGGAGGCCACTGATAGAACATAGAGGTGAGTGGCAAGGCCTGTGTGGTCTGTGTGCCACCATGGCTGGGAAGTGAACTCCATCTTCCCCCAGGAGCCCAGGGTCCTATGGGCTACCCCTCCCCGCCCCACCTCCACTGGTGTGAGGGAGATAATGGCCTCTGGGCTTCCATAGGGGAGGCAACAGCACTCCCAGGAAGAATGCATGTTGGGGGTGAAGGTTCCCATAGTGGGTCATTGTGCTTTAGCCAGGTGGGAGGATGGATGCCCACTGCACCCTTCAGGTCTTTTGGTGAAGATGGAAACACAAGGCTTAGCGTCTCTAGGCTTCACAGGGGTGCTGGTGATGTAGGCAGAGTTGGAGTTTCCAAGGCCCTGATCTTCCTGACCGCTGCAG